ATGAAATGTTCCAGGCACTTTAATTAAAGCAGAACTCAGAGCCATTCTAATTAAAGCACCACCTCTCTTGGAGCACATGTATAAATGGCCATAGTTTTTAGGGACTTGGAACTGAATCAGACTTGGACAGCTAAGTCCACGTAGGCACTTACAATAACTGGTGGAATTGGATCTGGTCCTAAAGTTCCCACCCTGGTCTCCATATATCAAGATAGAAGCATAGAATCGAAGGATCAGAAGGGACCTACAAAATCATCAAGTCCAGTCCCCTGCCATAGGCAGGAAGTTATTGGTTTCAGATGAGCTCAACAAGGTGCTTGTCCAGCCTCTTTTTGAACACCTCCAAGGATGGTGACTGCACCACCGCTGCTGGGAGTGCGTTCCAGATTCTGGTGACTCTTACAGAGAAAAAGTTTTTTGTTTATGTCCAGCCTGAATTTACCCTCCATTAGCTTGTGCCTATTGGTCCTCGTCCTCCCTTGAAGTCCCTTCCTGAACAGTTGCTCCCCTAGATCTTGATGCTCACCCCGACGTACTTGTAGGTGGCTATCAAGTCACCTCTCAGGCTTCTTTTACTCAGACTGAACAGGCCTCTTCTCATAGGGCGTATCCTCCATGCCCCTAATCGTGCACCTGGCCCTTCTTTGTACCCTCTCGAGCTTATCCACATCTTTCTTGAAGTGCAGTATCCAGAACTGGACATAGTACTCCAGATTAGTAACTTGTTTGACTGAAGCATAACTTATGTTTGGCTAAAGCATGCCTTCCAGAAATGTTTCCCATCTTGATATGGAGAACCCCTTCAAACAATTTTTATAGCTTAGCTCTCTTCTACATCTCTGAGTTGGCCTTGGAAGTGGTGTTGAGAACATCTAGACTTAATGTCTTGAGTGACTTCAGTATGCATGCTGAGCCTGGCTCTTAAGGGATGGAGTAGGACTTCAGGGAGGCCATGACAATGGTTGGACTATTTCAGATAACTGGCCCAACATGAGATGGGACATGCATTGGGCTTAATGTTTTGAACCTGCCTGGTAACAGGGATTTTGATTATTTGATGTGCTGAGATGCTTGTCATGTTGAACAACTAAAGGTGCAGGTCCCTGCCTCCCAATGCTCCTATTATGGTGGTGGATCAGTCAAGTTGGTCCACCCCTAGAGACTCGTGGAGCTGGTGGGATTTCAAACTATCTGTGGGATTTTCTTGCTGATCTTGACAGCTACTCTGTCAATAACCTGGTCAAATTGTGGAATAGCACAAGGCCCCCTGCCATAGACAGAGTGATACCAAGGCATCCTTTCCCACTGCTGTGGTGACACAGACCTCCTGGTATATAGAGGAGATGAGATGGCTGAAGCAAGAGGGCAGGCTGTTAGACCACACGTGGATCTTGATCTGTGCTGAAGTGAACAGTTATATCATAGATAGCTTTTAAAGGACTCTGGTGTGGTAGTGGCAGTAGTGAACATGCTTTTCTTTTCTGCTGCCATTCCATCTGCAAAGTGTTGTCCCACAGAATTGTTCCAGATGCTGAAATAGCCTGGTAAATCTGGGTTATCTCCACCCAGAAATTCAGTCATCTGTAGTCCACTGTGATGAATAAGCCACCTACTTTGCAGACAAAGTTCCACCACTTGGGGACCACCAATTCAGTTACAAAGTGTGAGTTCAAGGTTGGGGAAGCTCAGCCTTGTCTGATTTACGTGGACTGGTTTCAGCTGTTGTCACTCACCAATGCCAACAATATGCTTGGGGGACTGCAAGCAACCAGTTGTGAACTGGATCCATGCCAAAGCCAGCTGGGGTAGATTGGGCCATTGCTGGCAAGGGTTGATCAATGCTTCCCTTTGGGAGGGTAGAGTGCCAGATGTTTTTAAGTCTGCAATTGTCTGGCCCTTATTTAAAACACATCTCTTGACTTCTCAGCCACATAGTGCACTGTCTTCAACCTCCCCTTTTTGGGAAGAGTTATTGAATGGGTAGTTGACTGACAGCTCAAGGTGCATCCAGGTGATTAGCAGACCTCATTACTTTTTTGGTGGAGATGGCTGTGAAATAGGAGGCATCTGGCCTCCTTACAAAGAGAATCAGCATGTTGTTATTTGAAAACATGTTTCAGTCCAGAAAATAATCATCATGATGGTTTTCTTCAATAGGTGGACCTGAAACATATCCATGATTGACCACATGGACCAGCCTTCCAACTGGAAAGCTAAATGAGATCTATTTAGAGGACTGATGAACACAGAAAAAAATATTATTAGGTAAAAACATTTTCCCTTTATTCTTTCAGGAGGATGTTTTAAAGTACTTTACAGTATGATAGAAAATTGGTGCAAATATTAACAGTCTAAAAATCCAATTTCAAAACTATAAAGCTTTCTTTGAATGTGCATATTCAATGAATAGGTGAACTTGGTGAATTGGAGGTAAATTTTAACTCAAATATTCAGATGGCAATTATATTTAATCAAGAGATTCCTTAAATTCTTCCTTTTTTAAGTGGTCTAGTCTAACCAATGCACCTTTTTAAAGTGATGTATATAATATAATTGTTTAGAAAACACTGTCATTAGGTGTTTACCAGAAGGTATTCAGTGGTACATATTGTGTATGCAAAAACAAAACACAATATCCGATACTAAATAGAATAGTTCATCTCACATTGTATATACAATTTCCACATACTTATAAGCCCATCATGGATTCTTTCAGTGACTTAGTATACATATTGGAGGCCATTTAAGCATTTATGCATTTGCAAAAAAAAAAAAATTCTTGTTGGAAGTCTATAAACATGTTTAAAATATTTATCTTCAAAAGAAATGTTCTAGTATTCCCATTGTGCACTCTTTGAATAAACTTACTTATGATTTATACCTTTATACCCTATTTTATAGTTGCAGAGTGATATAATTTTTCAGAATTCTTAGTTAGGTCCCACATTAAAGGCTGAGCACAGTTTAAAAACTTATAGTATATGTGCACAGTGTTAACAGGAAACAATTTAGAACTGTTGTGGTATCCTGTAGGATGTGTGTAAGTCATTGAGCTAGATGTTGATTTATACAGAACTGTATTTTACAGTATACATTTTGGCAATTCTGTCACTATTATTACTGTGCTAAATCTAAGCACAGGAAACAAGTGTAAGCATATTTGAAATACTAACATTCTTTCCAGTTTAAAAAACAGTTTTTGATGTTGCTTTTTAAACCTATTTTTATACAAGATAAAATTTTCAGAAATTAATACATTAACTTTTAATTAGTGATTGGCACTAATTTAGAAAACAGTGAAATATTAATATAAAAATGTAACTCACTAATTTGTAACAAATAATTTAACAATAATTTCACACACACATATGTATATAGTACCTTTTATCCCAAACCACTTCTCAGAAACTTTGTTTCAATGTACAAGTTTCAGAACCAAGGTACAAAAGGAGGCCATATAATTCAATGTGAAAACATAAGGTAAATATACATAACTTCATAAAGTGGCATGTGTTTAGTGTTATGCCAAAAGTATAGTTTCTACAGTCTTTCAGAAGTTGATATCCCTGAATTGCTGATGCCTTCAAATTCAGTAGTAGGGCAGGACACAAATGACCGCAGAACATTCAAGCAGATCTGCAAATGGAATTATACTTCATGTTCAAGAAACCAGAAGGAAGTGGTAGAGATGTACTAGCAATATTTGGACCTGTGATCATGTGTACATAATACCACCATGCCCCATGAAGATTCCTAAGAGAATTCCGTCTTCAAGAATGTTCAGTCTCATATCCCATGACTGGTCAAAAAGACTGTAGTATCTGAAATTAGATAATGTTTATGAAAAAAGTTTGTGAAGTTGTCAGTCATTGAGGAATTGATTAGAAACCCCCCCTCTTTTCATGAGGACCTAACTCAGTTCAAGCTTACATTCTGGCTTCTGAGTATGCATTTCTGAAACAGATGGGACTGTTTAGCAAAATAGTATCCATTCTGTTTCATTCTTGAGAATAAATTACTTGATTGGCATACTCCAGAATGAAAAACATTTTCATTCTAATGTAGGAGAACAACTAAATATAGATTCTTCCATTCCTCTCTTACATATATCATTTAATTCTTACAAGTTGACCTGGATTTGGGCCTAACTGCCAGTTCTCTTAATATGCATTTGGCAGCTGTCACTGCATGCTGTGGAAATATGGATTTTTTTTTCTCTTGGCTATCATCCAGTTATATTCATATTCCTTAAAACTACGGAGAAGCTGAAGTTGAAGCCAAAAATTAGACCACCAGTCATCCATGTGACTTTAGCCTGGTCCTAACTGCTCTGATGGAACTTTCCAAAGGAGCATTTTCTTCTGAATCCTATCAATCAAAATACTTTTCTTCTAGCAATTTAATCTGCTAGGAGGTTAGAGGGATGCCATTGTCAATGATAAATGTTGTATGGCTGTGGCCCGTGCTAACCCGATATCTTACCAGCGCACACTATCAGGGCACAGGCCAGTACCGCCACCAGCAATCTCCACTGTTCTTTTCTTGTCTGTCATGTCTTGGTGTTCTGTAACTCTTGGTAGCTGGATGTGTAGGTCTGTGGGGATCCTGGTGGGTCCTCTTGGAAGGGTTTCTTTTTGGGGTTCCACCTCCCCTCACACACCTTACCACCCCAACGCTTCCTGGATGACACATGTTGGGCCCAAATCCTGTATTGCCCAATACCACTGGCAGCTCAGTGCTGGCAGACCCGAGAAATACCTAGGAGTTTAGATTCATTCACTCGAACCCACCAGAGGCCCTTTTTCTTATTTAATCAATCACTTCTGGATTCATAGGTCCATCAATTAAGACCAGTCCATCTAAAGTCTACCAGGCCAAATGACCTCTTATCAGTTCCTCCCACACTCCAGGGCCAACTAGTCCAGGTTAGTCCTTTAAGGTCCCAATCAAATAATCAGATGAGTAACAAAAAAACGGAACTCAAAGAATCTCCCATTTCCAGGGTTAATCAGCTCAGCTTAGTGCTTTAAAGGTCCTGATCAAATATTAAAATAGGTAATCCAAAACAAATGAAGTCAAATGCCTCCCAGGTTCTTGGGTCAATCAATTCAGCTCAGTCTCCTTTAAAGATGCCTCTGTCCCTCAAACAAAAATAAAATAAAAAAAATCCACTGGGTTCTTCCCCTGGCTTGACTCTTCAGGGCTAGGACATCTAGGCACTTTTATGTGAGGAGAGCTCTCCCTCCAGCTGCTTTACCTGACACTGGGGAAGGGAAGGACAATCCTCACAAAGCACAACAGAAGAGGAAAAAAGCATAAAAGAAACAATGGAGCTGTGCCCCTGAAAACTCATGGTCCAATGCTTGGAGACTGCCACTTTAAGCCTCACCCAGCCATCTTCAAGTGATTCCTGGCGCAGCATGTTCAGAAGTTTGTTAGTGGTCCTCCAATCACTCTGCCTAGAGAATCAGCTTTCCTCTCTGTGACCGCCTGGCCTTGAACAGCTGTTCGCGTGCTGCCTTGGCCCGGGCGGTCGGTAGCGGGCATACTGAGGTTTCTTGTAAACCCTGAGGCAGATACCTATCACCTAGGTGGCCGCCCCCAGACTTCCGTGCCACGACCTTGAATGTAATTTCAGTGGGGTGGCAAACCGCCAGGGGTTCCTCAGCAGTAGGTAGTCCGCTAGGCGGCCGTCCGTGGGGCTCCACCTCCCCTACACCCCAGCCTCACGCCAACCTTCAGCAGGTCACCATATCTTGAGTTGGCCATTTCTCCGATGCAGTCATTCTCATGACCCTGATGCTTTTTTGGGCCTTGTGTCCAGAGCGCTCTCACCTACGGCGGTCCAACTGATTCCCTATCTGGCCTAAGCTGGGCCTATACCTGCCCTTAGGCTACCTTGAACCAAAAACAGAAAAATCAACAACAAGAAAAAGAGAAAAAAAAAGCGGGATGGAAGGAAGCTGCCCTGCCGGTGCTTCTTCCCCTTAACTGAGACTTCTTCCTCACTCGAGGCTTAGCTCCTGGTTTTGGCTATACCGTGACCACAACCCCTCCAAAAGGGGGAAAAAAAAGGAACAAAACAAAACTACAAGTTGGGGTGGATCTGCTTGGTTCCCTCCCTGGCCCTACTGTTAGGACACGGTGCTGCCTTCTCATCACTCTCCTTTAAATTTCTTCACCCTCTTTCCTGTAGATCAGTACTCCACACCTGGTACCTGAGAATGCTCTGGGCGATGACCCGTCATCTGGCCAGGGGCGGTTAAGGCTCCTCTTTCTGGGCCACTGCTCCCCTCATGTCGCTGAATGCGGTTTGTGAAGCCGCTGTCCCCCAACGTTATCTGTGGTGTCCTGTTTCCAGCATTCCACAGTCCTTCCTGCTCTGGCTGACTGCTGCCTGCACTGTGAGCCACGTCTGCTGCTGCCCTGCCAGGCTTTCCTTTTTTCTGCATCCCCCAGTCTCTGCCGGTGTAGAGAGCCTCCACCAGCTCTCCCTCCTCCCAGGCACACCAGTCGTTGCTGGTATAGAGAGCATCTTCCAGCTCTCTCTCTTCCTGCCTCCCCCTGCCTTCACCGGCAATCCTTTTTGTTCCCGCCAGCCGGTGATTACTGATGACGTCACTGGCTGGCCTCAGCCGTATAAAGGTGCAGCTTACAACTCGTGCGGGTTCCTCTCTTCTTTCTCATGGCGCCATGGGCCCTGTTGTGGGTAAGTGTTCCTCTTGTATGTTTTTTTTTTCTTTCAGTCTGGTCCCTGCTCCAGGAGCCCCCAGGGTGCAATATGGGGCTCTTTTGACTGGCTGCCTCTGGGACACTCTCTCTTTCCTCTTCCTCTGCTGGCAACTGCCCGCTATTGGCAGCTTGAACAACTTATACCTCCTGAGGGCAGGGGGGGGGGCACAGCAACTGCCTGCAGTCGGCTGCGAGCGGGGACCACCCGCAGGCGGCCGTTCTGATGTCAGTGGTGGGGGCGGGCCAAGTGGGGACCACCTGCAGGCAACCATGGTCATGTCAGTGGTGAGGGCAGGTCGAGTGGTGGGGGGTGGGGGTGAACTGTGACTGCCTGCAAATGCTGGCGGCAGCATCAGCAGTGGCCAATCTCTGGGGGGGCATGTGCCCCCTCATACCCCTCTACACATCTCTTATGATCAGCAGGGGAGGGTTCCAGCATCTCTCTTGTCTCCCAACTGTGCTCCTGTCTTGACTCCCCCTCTTCAGGGCCAGAAATACCCTTTTGTGTGCTCCTGCCACCTATCTGCAGGGAG